ATGGTCCTTCTTATTGCCTGAGAGCCTGATATTGCTGATTAAGAACTAGCGGAAGATTAGGGTAGTGAGCCAAGGGGAGCTGTTAAATCATCCTTTAAACCAGCCTTGTTGGGACTCCTGTTCCTTTCTCCGCTGGTTGAGTCTTTCTCTGAGCTTGGCCATGGAATCCCTAATAACTCCAGAATGGTTAACATAGAAAAAGCACTCCTCTTTTAGGGCAGCATAGAGTCTGCCTTCCTTAAGGAAAAGGAGATCAAGTTCCCTACAATTCTGGAGGGCAACTTCCGCTAGAGAAGCCAAAGACTTTTCTAATTTATTGATGGATCCTTTTATGGTTTTAATGTCCTCATTTATGGCTGTTTTTAGCTCATTATAGTGTTGGGGTCCCTGGACCAGTGCTGCGGTTCTGGTGCCGACCCCGGCTGCCACCTCCGAGTCCCCATCAGGGAGTGAGAGATATTGGCATTCCCCCATGGAAGGGAGTTCCTTTTGACTTAGCATTTTAACCAGGGAAAATGGGCAACGTATTCTTTTCCATGCTATTTCCCGCTGACTTTGGGAAGACGTTAGGGACCCAAGAAGGCTGAAATGCTAGTCAAAAAAAAAAAAAAAAAAAAAAAAAAAGGGAATTTAGGCAATGGGGAATCCATCAGGCACTTCTGGTTGGCAGACTCTGTTGCAGAGATAGGGGGTGTCCATATCAGCTGGACTGGTTCACATCCACAGCAAGTGTAGGGCTCGCAGTCTTTAGGAGCAGGCTGTAGTCAGCAACTGATATTCGTCTGCCAGAAGTGGAAATCTGTTGAGACATGTTTAAATTGGGAACAGAAGTTAAAACTTATATATCTTATTGGAACTCTTAGGCCCATATTTTTAGTGATCAAGAAGGACAGGAGTTCCAAGACAAGGGAGAAAATCTCATCCTCAGGAACAAATAAATGGGATAACAAAAGTTGTACTTATCTGGCGTCCTTTTTACCTGTGAGAAGTGGATCCAAACTTTATGACTTTTGATCCTCTGAAGCCCATACAGACTTTATTATATAATAGGACATAGAAGTTTTAGACATTTTATCATTATTAATCTGTATTGAAATCCACATTGCAGAAAAAGCAGATATTGGGTATTTGTAGAATGGCAGAAATATATTTATATCTTTGAGTTCTAGCAAAAACTACAGATTTGGGCTAGAAGCCTGCATATTTCTCTTCTGTCCAGAGAGTCGGGCATAGATTGGACAGACGTGCCCCTGGCCCGATGAAAAGCCCCTCAAGTTTACATTTAGACAACAACCAAAGTAAACCCAAAAACCTTGAGCTTGTGACTGAACAGCAGGCTGTTGGTTTTATCAGCTTATCAGAACTTTATTAAATGATCTATTAAGCTGTCTATAGTTTAACCATTAATACTATCAGAGATCTGAGAAGGACAAATTTTATATAGTTTTCGAATCTGTTAAAAATGACAGGGTCCAGTCTATGTAAAGTTAGCCATATCCAAGTCTCAATAGTGTTGGGGGCAGAAGTAAATCTT